GAGGTAAAGAACATAGTTCAAAAGACAAACAACAAAGACAGACAAAAGGGATCCTTCTGAGATAGTCTAAGACATTGTGTCCTAGATTCATTATAGTTTTCCAGTATTTGGGTCCCACTTCCACAAGAAATACAAGGGTACTTCAAAAAGTTGGTGGAAAAATGGAATTAAAAGATAATACAAAACTTTCCATGAACTTTTTGAATACCCCTGTACTGTCCTTGCATTTCTTCAAGTTTCCTATCTGCAGCCTAAAAATTGCATTTTGTGAGCTAGCATAAAGGGGTCTTAGTTTTCTGCAATGAAAACGAACCTACCTAAAAATAAATAAATAAAATAAAATAATATTTGGGAAGAGTAATTAAATTTTAAAAAAATAAATAGCACGGTGGCTGTGGCAGAATCCAGGCAAAACTAGATGCCCATTTAATCTTTTGATTCTATTCCACTTTTACAAAACTAATACAGTATATGACTGACTACAATTTAATCCAGACATTTGCACAGACTTTTGCAGGGCAGGACTGTCTAACTACTGATCTTGCTCCATGGTTCCATGGCCTGAAGAAAATCTTAATTAAAACAGTTCTTAATGCAGCATTAACCTTGCTGATCTCAAGTGTTTGTTTTTCCCTGTTGCATAGTGTATGTTATTTTTTCATCAGTGTGACCTTAATCATCTGCAAATTTGTCAAGTATTGGTGAATGCAGTATTCTAAATAACCAAGGATGCAAGAGCTCTATGCTACATGCTTGCCTGATTGAACAAATAGTATAATATTGGAAATTCTTTTTCTCGTTTTTTAGCTTAATTAAAAGAAGAAGCAATTGGTTTTCTAAAGCTACTTCAAGTCCAAATAGCTTATTTTTCACAGTGAAAGATAATTCTTAACTTCCTTAACTTTTCACCATCTAGAAGACATGTACTTTTCAGTTTATAATCTTAAGAAGATTATTTTATGACTTGTCTTTTTATAAGTGAAGAAAAACTTATGAACATTGTGGTTTGTTATTGCCATTTTAGCCTAGATCATTTGTTGCTTTTCAAGAAAAATCCCAGTAAGGGGAATACACACAACACACTTGTGTACGTGCACTAACATATACACACACATACACGAAAGTCCTTCAAAAAGTTCGTGGAAAGAATCTTACTATCTTTTAATTACGTTTTTCACGAACTTTCTGAAGGACTCTTGAGTACACAGACAGACATTTATATACTCATACACACACATCTTTTTCAACATTGGTTGTAGATTTTTATGCCTATTCTGCCATGTTTACAAATGAAGCAATGTATAATACCTCTCACTGGTTTCTTCTAATATCTGTCCATCAATCCCTTGAAAATCTTTAAAATATAATGAATGACAGTTCTTTGTAACAGAAGGTTAGAACTACAGTGTATCGTTTTGTCTCAGAGTGTGAGTCCAAGACCATTAATGTACAATTTTGTTTCTGCATAAATTAATATTTTACTTTGGAAATATGAAGCAAGCAAGCAAACAAACAACATATATTGATATCTTATGAAAAGCAAGGTAAATTCTCCCTAAATTCTGATGAGGACTTTATGGAGACAAGTGGGAAATTATGTAGTAAATTGTTCCTATGACCTTTGGCATTGTAAATGTGACAAAGATAAAGAATCAATGAACTCTGTACTTCTGAGATACATTGCTTAGCACTGGTAATTTACTCAAAAAAAAGAGCCAAAAGTAAGGAATATGTGAAAGTATCATTTACATTATAAAAGATAATTTTTAAAATTTGACCATGAAATGCTTCCACATGACACTGACATTAAGAAGTAGGACTAGTATCAATAAGTTAACCATGTTAGGCTTTTACTCTTTATGTTATTGAACATAATTGTTTTATATGTTATTGTATTTATGAGATGACATTAAACCTGTTTTAAATATGTATCCATGTATGAAGCCATATTAATAATAAATATCCATAACATCAATTACTGTCCTCTGTATATTCTTTTACTTGAGCTGCTTGTAAAAAGCACTCGATAGATATTGGTGAAATGATTTCTTCTTTTTAATAGTCAAATTCTTCAGTAGCTTGAGGGATTTGATGAAAACTATTTGGATAGTTATTCTCCTTAATCTGAATTAAAGTGGTGTTTATGCTGTGTTAAGCAGAGTCTCTGAATTGATATCTAAATTGGTTAAGATTGCTGGAACCAGAGTACAGGTAGTTTGAATACTGAGTTATTAGGATAGACTTAGTCCATTAGCACCTGAACCATAGTCAGTACTCAGTAAGGTTTGCTATTCTTTTTCTGAAAGAAGGATTTCAATTTGGTGTTATAAGTTTATTAAGGTATCCCTCCTAGCATGAATTACATATGTTTGGCTGCAGAAATAATCACATATTCAATTATAAACTGCTTCCCCAATTGAGTGGGAAAAAAATACTGCTTTTCCTCTGCTCTCTCACAACAATCAACACAGAAGACTTCTGTGACCAAATGTGTGTGGGTTTTCCCCACACACCAGGCAAGCAGTCAATTCTGCAGTGGACACCAGCTGGGTACCCTCCAATTCAATTCCTATGCTGTCCACTTGGAAATAGCATCAGATCCCACAGTTTGGGTGCTAAGTTTCAAAAGACTGTCCCCCACTTCTGATGCTAATCACAAGCCCCAGGTTGTTTTACTCTGCTTCTGACTGACCAGCTATCAATCGGGGTTCCCATGACCTCTATTTTGAGATTGGTTAATTTACTAAAGTGGCTCACAAAACTTAGGGAAACATGTATTTCTACCGGTTTATTATAAAGGTTTTTGCAAAGGATACAGATGAAGAGATGCATAGGGACACAGAGCCTCCATGCCCTCCTCAAGAGGCTACATGCTCTTCCAGAGCCCTACAAATTCAGCTATCCAGAAGCTCTCTGAACCCTGTCTTTTGGGGTTTTTATGGAGGCTTCATCAAGTAGCATGATGGAAGCATGGACAACTGTATACAAGTGGGATTGGACCAAAAGGGTATGATCTAACACTGATAGCCTGAATGGGGAAAGCAGCAAGGCCTGGCTGTTCAGATTCTTCTTGGCCTCTCTGTGCAGTGTTCAGTCCTCCCAGGAATGGGGCAGGACCCCTTCTGAAATGGGGATCTGATGACTTACAATCAGATAATGTAGGTCAGAGAATTTCTTTATGGCCAGCTCTAAAACAGAGAGGCAGGGAAGATTAGAGTCCTGCCTTTGGGAGAAAAGGAGCAGATGAAAGGAGGGCAGGAGAAGGTCAGAGAGTGGTTTCTTGGGAATAACAGGGGCTATGGGAGTTATCAGCCAGGAACCATGGACAAAAACCTATAGATATATATATCATAATAGTACACCAACACTGCTTGGAGTATTATAGAATAGAAGGTATTTGCATCATGTTAACAGAATCAGAAAGAATTCTGGACTTCAAAACCTGTACAAATATGTCCCTAAAAGTTTTGGATAAGGAATTTTGGATCTGTATTTAATTTGGGGGTGGGATTATAAATTAGCACTGTTTTGTGTGTAGAAAGGTGGCGATCTATCAACACGTATCAAAAACCATAAAAGAGTACATTCCCTTTAGTCCAAAATCCCGCATCTAGGAATTTATCATTATTAATTTATTAGGAAAATGATATAAGATGTAGGTTTTATCAAGTTCAACACAGATAATGCATAACAGGTAAAAACTGTAAAGTTCCAAATTTTCAAAAATAGAATACTGGTGAAATTACATAGGCTGTAGCCTTACCATAGACTACGAATTACCAACAATGTACCCCCAAAAATGTATAATTAATTATGCTTCAATAAAATAAATAAATAACTTTTTTAAAAAGTGATATGTGCAGTGACACCCATTCACACTGAAAGATGACCTTGACGTTTTATTAAGTAGAAATAGACTATAAAAATAATATGCATCATATAATGTAATTTCTAAAAGAAAACTTTGTAAATATACATAGAAAACTGAAGAATATTTATTAAAATTTAACAGTGGTTATCTCTGGATGGAAAGATTGTAGGTAATTCTAATTTTTTCGTGACTGTGCTTTGTTTACGGTGATGTGTTATTACTAGAGTAACAAAACAAATTTTACTTAAGTATATTACTAAGCATGCATTGTATCTTGCTTAGATTTCTACTTCTACATATGTAAAATTAATATCTATCAAGAAAAATATAAAATTCTTCACATTTATAGGAGTTAATTATAAAGGCTCAGTGTACTTGGAAAACAGTATTATGAAGCAAAGCCTCGTTTTCAAACAGCATGTTTTTGCCTATGGTAGCATTCATAACATTGTTGATATTTTGTGTGTGTGTTTGTGTGTGTGTGTGTGTGTGTGTGTGTTTATTAAAATTAGCCATGGAGAATTGGAAATATATATCATATTGTCAAGGAAAGTGTGTTAAGAATTTTAGACTTTGTCTTTTAAAAATATGCCCAGATAGTATATTGGCAGCATTCAAATTACGACCCACGTGGAAACAGCAAGCTACCCATCTTGAATAGTGGGATGTCAACCAAGAATTTGTAATGTCTTTCTTTCAGTCATCAGAGACGATTTGCTTTTCTCAGAAATATATTCTGAAAATATGATCTTTATCCTGAAATGCTCCTTTAACAATACAAATAAATAAGAGAGCAGTATGCACTTTCAGGAAAGCGATTTGCCTTCTGAATTGCGCTGAATGGTGATAACGTGATGACGTGACATCCCACTGCTTGGTGTGGGATAAACAGCTAGACCCAGCAGTTATCTGCAGAGAAGAGAGCTCTGTGTTTTAACTGCCAATTTTAAAGTCAGTGCTTCTTATAGTTCCTTAGAATGTGTCTGAAATTTGGTGTGACTCTGAATGCTTTATTCCACTTTGGCAGACCGTTTCTGCAATCCATGAACAATTAAGTTATGTTACTTTTTATTAAAAACTGTGATATTTATTCTTTATTTACTGAATGAAAAAACTCTTTATTTTTCAGAGCTTCCATATGGCTGGGAAAAAATCGATGATCCTATATATGGCACTTACTATGTTGAGTAAGTCTCTAAGTGTGATATTAACTTGTTATTAATGTTGTGAAATTGTGTTAACATTTCAGTTATTGAGCATGTGTAGCTAATAGCCCTTTTATTTCCCTTTCATCTTACTTTGAAGTATCCACAAAGACTCTAGCAGCAGTAGCTAGCTGTTTCTTGCCTCTCCAGCTGACTAATTTGTCACTCTTTTCCCTTGACTCATGATTCTAAAACACCAATTGGAAAAGTGTATTTCCCACTGTCCTCTAAATGAGTGATAATTAAAGATATTGAAGTAAATGCCTTTCATTTTGCAATCAAAATGTTAGGAGCTGACTGGTTGTGCAAGAGAAATGTTCTATTAAACCAGATTTTGAAGTCAATTAAATGAATCAGCCATACTTTTCCAGTTGAAGGATAAAACAAAACTTATTTTTTTTCTCTTTTAGGACCCCTCTAACCAACAGTTTTCTTTCTGTAGACAGTACTATTATGCTACCTATTGGAGGTTGCATTGCATTAATATATCTTATCGTACTATGAATTATCCTTCCTATGCATCCTTTTATTCAGAATAAAGCATCTATGAAGGATTAAATTATATTTTTCTTAGGAAAATCAAGTAATTCATAATTTTAAAAAGTTAAATATGTGATTTTTTTCTAGAACTCTCTCTTCTGATAGAGAATTTTTTTATTCCCACATACTGTGTAATGTTTCTTATTTGAGTGAATAACAAATCCTATGTATTACTTATGGGACATATAGTAGCCAAGAAATGCAGAGGTTGAAAAACAAGAGTTTCACATTATTTATCAAGATCTAACTGCATTTTCTCTAACCATATTCTGTTTAACATTAATAATCTAGATGGTCAAGGGTTACAGATTGATGGCTTTATTGCTAAATTGTTTTGTAATAGTATTCAACCAGTTCCTGGGATTTTAGTAGGTGTCAAGCCCTTCTTTGCACTGGAGATGTGCAGATAAGTAAGACCTGTGTACTCCCTGCCCTTGTGCATCTCCCTCTGGGGTACTTTTCTTGAATACTTTGACCCACCATTTTCATTTGGAAAAGCCCCAGATTTGGCACTACAGTTGGTCATTTCAAGATTCACAGCCAAGGTGAATTCAGTTCATTTGCCACATGCAGTCTTCTAACATAGTCTCTAATGTCTAATATGTACAAACTCAATATAGATTTTTAAAAAAAGTAAGATAAACACATAGAGGTGTCTCTATTTGCAAAAATAAAGGGAAGTCATTTGTAAATAGTTATAAGGCCTCTGAGTCACACTAAATTGCTAATCAATCAAAATGTCCATATTTTAAATATAATATAGCTGCAGTTCCAGAATAAATTTAACACTGTTTCCAATAAATGCTAGCTTGTCTTAATTCACTGAATCAGACTGTTCTGTGCCTAAGCCTCTCACATCTGAAATCCAAGGCAGTCCATGTAAGGAAAGAGAACTGAGGTGTGAGACATACAAGATCTAATTTTTAATACGTTTTCTTGCATAATTATCAAATAAGAACACTTTCTTTTGTTCAGATGTTGGCAAACTCCATAAAGATCCAGATAGCAAATATTTGGGGGGCCATACAGTCTCTGTCACAACTTCTCAATACTGCCATTGTAGCTTTGAAGCAACCATAGGCAACCCTTAAATGAATGGGTGGAGCTATATTCTAATAAAACTTCATTTATAAAAACAGGCAGCTGGCCAAATTTGGTCTGCAGGTCATAGTTTGCTGACTCCTTCCCTATTCTAATTATTCAGATTGTTTTTTCCATGTCTTCTGCTCCTTTCAAGCTAACTTCCAATGCAGGAAACAGTACTTAACTCAAACCTTTCTTCTCTGCTCTAATCACCTATCATAGAGGTGAGACACCCACACATAAGAAATCTATGCTTCCTCCTTTCTTGATCATGGAGATATGTGTTCTTCGAGTAAAGATTTGTGGCTGGTAGACCCTTATTGTTGATTATTGAATTGGACATTATCTATAACCCTAAAGAAAATTGTCCTTGTTATCTTTATACTTCAAATGGTTTTGTTTCTCTTTGTTCTTGCTTAAATTACACTTCTCTCTACATTTCTCCACTTCATTTTCCATGTATCACAGTCACGGTCAGAAAATTATTTAGAATTCGGTCAGTCAGATCTTAAGTAATTAGCGCGGACTGACATGCTTAATCGTTTTAGATTTCAAGTGATTTTAAGGTCATATTTACAGGTCATAATGAGTCAAAATAGTTTAACTTTCTTCTAGTTGCATCTACTTCTACTATTTGTCATGGACTTATCCCCATTACATGTTTCCATAAGGTATACCAATATCAATAATTATGTGTGTGGGCATATAAGGCCAAGCAGAAAACTGAGACAAATAAGCAGCTAAAAGAAAACGTTATGTAAAATATTATTCTAATATTTCTTAGAAGCTACCTTTTGGAAAAATTTACCAATATAATCAAAACACCTCAATTTATTTCATATAATATATGCATTACTTGAAATGAGAGATATCTCCCATCACAACAAAGACTACTTATCAAATATTTTAATTGGAATACACTTTTTTACATGGTTTGTTTTAACTGTGTCTCTCATCTTCATTACATTAGTATTTTCACAGGATATCTATTGGTTCTGAATAATAGTCTTGTTGATGGAAGCTATATGAATACATATATAAACATAGAGGTTATTCATCACTTTCAGTCCATAGGGTGTTTTTCTTGGGGGGGGGGGTCACGTGATTGCTTATAGTTAATTATACACAAGAAAGTAAATGTCTAGTCTAAGTTAAATCAACTTTTCCAGTATAGATATCTTAAATACAATATCATAACATAACATGAATATAAAATATAGACTGCCTAGACCAAGATATTCATAATTGTAGTGATAACATTAATGTCAACATCTTAAGGAATCATACATTTTGGATTTATAATATCAATAGTTAGTTAATTTAACAAAGCAAGGCTGTCTTTTATTGTATATCTGTAGCCAAGAAAATGCTGATTCACTAATGCTATTAATGACAATGGGAATGGGTTCTCTGTAGAGCTATAATTTTTTATGTTTAATTACACATTCATTTACACAGTTGGAGGTGCTGCTTATGAGATATGAAAAACATTCCACTCTCCTGCCCAATAGCAAAAAAACCTATATGCATGGACACTGGAGCTCCAACTTAGCAGTCAGCCACTCTCTTCAAACAGACCAACAGCTGGGAGCATAAGTTGCAGTGTGGGCTCACCGTCATCAGCAGGGCATGTCAGATTGAAATCAGTGTTGTGCCTCTGACACAGTTGCACAAACACACATTTTCCTGTCAGCCACAGACAGGCAGATAGGAAATCCAGTAATCAATAGCAGAAGAGGTTTTACATAGCTAGAAACTGAAAAACCTGTATTGAACAGGTTTTGACCACTATAACTGACTTTATCCTACTATGCCATAATTCTGTCCCCTGCAAATTCAATTTTAAGATCATAGGTTTAATATATTCAAGAGCCAGAAAAATCCTCATTCTCATCCTCATTATCATATCGTCAAAATAGTTCACATTAAGTGCCTACCTAGTATGTGCCATGAACTGGGCTAAGTGCTCAACAGTCTTTACCACATTTATAATCCTCTCTATAGTGATAATGAGGTACATTTTTTCAAGTGTAGAGATGAGGAAACCCTAAGTAACTTATGCAGTATTATGCATTATTGAGATGAAGGGCTGAAATTTGAATCCAGGGAGTTTGACTGCAGAATCTGTACTCCAAACTCTTGCTCAAAATGCCTCCCATAAGTTTAGCATTTGTAATTTATAATGGGCCAGACAAGCCTTTGGGGCTCATCACTGGAGAAGAATGAAGGATCCCTCTAGAGCATCTCCTCCCTGGCTCCCTTCTGGTGCAGTTTCACAGCAGGGTGCCCAACCCTTGGAGGTCGTGCTGCACACACAGCCCTGTGAGCCATCAGCTCCATTGTCCACAACTTCAGAGTGGCCCTGGGCAAGATGGCCACTGGGAGCAAAACCTGAAAAAAGACGAATCCTTATTGTGTGGCCATTAGGGATGTGGCACTTGTTAAGAGCAATAGATATAGCCACACTGCTCTGTATTTTAAAGAACAGTGCGCCCTACTCCGCATCTATTCTTATTTCATCTATAGGCAAGGCAGATGGAGCGAGTTTCTACTCTGTAGCAGCAGAAAGAATTTAGCCCAATTTTTCCTGACAGACACCAAATTCATGCCAGTGCAGCACTTAAGAATGTATTAAGAAGTCTTAAAGTTGCTAACTAGAAATGTAACTGTCACTGTTCATAAAGAAAGGCAAAATTTTTAAATGAAAAAGTGCAAAATGTAGAGTTGAACAGCTGTGACTTTTGTACAAATGTGGTCTTCTCTCTCTTTTGTAAAATTATGTCTGCTGGGTACATTTTGGTTTTAATGGCAGTTACACAATTTGCTTAACTAGCTAGTCCAGAAGACACAATTTCCTGGGAAAGCTTTCATGCAAAGCTGCCTCCTCTGGCACAGACAGAGATGCAAACCATATAACTACAGTTAAAATGATAGTGGGGACTGACAGATGTGATTTTCGTGTAAAGGTTTTACAAGTTTTCATGTGATGTCACACATCTGCTACTATAAAACATTACTGTGTGCAATTCCAGAAAGTATGAAAAATACTGCAAAATATCTTCGATGTAACATTTAATGTAAAAGGAAAATCACATTCATTTTGCCGTTAATGGTGAATATTCATCATAATGCAGCAAGTTGGAAAGTGGTTAGAGAGGGTTTTAACTCAATATCCTAACTTAAGCATGCTTCTCTCCTTCATGCCTATAAGTAGTTTTCTAAATTTTCCAAGAAAGAACTTCCCAACTTTTGAATCTTTAATAAGTCAGCATAAAAATAAAACACTTCCAATTAGACATAAGCATAAAATAATATCCTTTTTAAATCTTGCTTTTTTAAGAGAACTATTTCTTATGCTG